GTTTCTGATAAGCTTTAAAACAAAACAGCATCAAGCAGCTTTCACTGCAGAGTGAAACAGTTTGAGTCATCCAGGATGTTCAGCTTCAGCCTGCATTTGGGGCCTCTCTTCTCCACATCCACACAACGACCATTCACACGTTATTTCTGTCTTCTTCCACACAAAGTAGACCCACTGATTTTCACCTCCATTAATAAGAAATATTGTTACATTAACAGGTGACACAGAGCTATAAACAATATGTAACTATAACAACACAGGCAACACTGTTGCTGCATCAAAGGGGACTAAGTGATGCTGGTAGCAATCATTAACATGTGAATGAATGAATGTGTGTGTGAGCGCTCTGTGCTGCAGTTTGTTTGTAAGCTGACAGCTGCACATTAAAGCTGTGACACTTTGACCTCGATCCACGTAAACATGAAAGGTTACTCGCTGCATTCAGCTCTGACACACAATCTGATGAAGGAGTTTGTCACCACTTCAAAGTGAAGTTCATGTTATTGGTGGATCTTCTCTGTGATAAATGGACTAAACACAGACTGATGGATGTTGTAATGTGTGAAACAGATGTGCAGCAGATTAGGGCCCACATCTGTTTCACACTGCATCAGCAGCTGCATACATGGAAACTTGTGTGACCATGTGGCTCGCAGACTGTGCTGCTCAGAGCAGACTGGACATAAAAGAATCAGAGAAAATGTGTCACTTACAGCTGATTTTAATCTGACACTCTGAACATAACCTGATCTACACCAGGCTGTGTTCAGCATCTGTTACCATGGTGATATAGCCAGGTAAAGAGAGCTAGTCTGGTGAAACTAAACACTGACAGGAGGCCCAACATGGCCACTGACATGTGAATCTTTGTGTTTAAGACTTTTCTGAACCAGAAAATATTAATTTAGTCTAATTTTACAAACTTTCAAAGTAAACAAATCTAAATCTAAATGAATGAATTATCAAATGTTAGTAAATTTGTGATTTCCACGTGTGTGATGTGAGCAGCAGGTGAAGCTGCTGTTGTAGATGTTGTTGTTCCCCTCTGTGTGTTTCTGTGTTGTTGATATTTAGTGTTTTACTGCTAACACTTTATAACAGCTGCACACTCTTCAGCATTAGTGTTA